AAGGTCCACACATCTTCAAGCGGCCAAGGTTGAAGTCCACACATCTTCAAGCGGCCAAGGTTGAGAAACACTGACTTAGACAAAGACGATGTCCTTTGAACAAAAGTTACTGATGATATAACACTTTGCTACGTGTTACCTCTAAGCCCCTTGCTTTCAAGCACTGTTTCTGTCTCCTAGGGTTTTAATCATCATTTGTCTAAATGTTTCTTCGGTTGGGCTGACAATTTATTTTCTCTGGGAAAGGGGATTTGAGGTGAGAGTACCTGCTTCTTTAACCCCCCCTCTTTTTTTTTGCTACATAGGAAAATAACCATTAACTTGCCCATCTATTTTAGCAGCTCCAAAGTTGCAGTCTTGATAAGAGTCTTGACAAAAATTAGAACAACTTTGTGTACACAGTTTCAGTTCCAACAGCCATGGGGTGTCTAATCTGTCAACTGTTGCCAACCAGAGCAGCAAATTTGGGGAGGGAAGGAATAGAAGATTTCTGATCTGGATATATATTGACACCAGGACCTCCATTTTGAGAAATATTATAGATATTACCTATAATCTACAGCAATTGCCACTCTTTGGAGTATTTCATCTACACTGTTTTATAAGCACTATATTGACTATTCTTTTTATTCAGACCAGAACAAAGAATCAAAAGCCAGACTATGCTTATATTCCCCTTTTGCTAGTTATGCTGATAAATATATGTCCTTGGTGATGAACTCCAGCCTTCATGGATTTAGAATTAATTTCTTTTTGCAGTCCTGATGACTGATACTTTGAAAATTAATCCCCTCTGTATTCAGTAACAATCCAGCTTGGTTCCAGGGTTTGTTTCCTCTCCCCTCCCATTGTGGTATATTTTTGTACTAACTTTAATATTCAATCAATGTATTGTTTATTAATAATATTATAAGAAATCTCTGAGTGTGGTTGCCTATGCAAGTAAAGCAATAGCATTCGCATCAAGGAGAGATACTCACAAGCTTGCTGATACACAAAATAACATACATAAAATAAGATGAGCAAAATTTCTTCTGTTCCGTGTTCTTTGCTTCTATGATAATGATGTTGTGTACTGGGGGAACAGAATGGATAGGCCTCTTAATGCCAACATTTTTTAATTAAGTATACTTTCTCCGATTTGTTTGATAGTGGTTCCCAGCTGAGGCTAAAGAGATCAAATCTCCTTTCCATTCAAGCCTGACCCCTGGAGATTGGTGAAAACTGGGTTTAAAGAATGCTCAGCTCAGTAGATGTTGCTGAGAGTCCAGTTTTAAGTCTTGTTTTGTTCCAACAGGCCATGATCGATCACAAGAAAAAGAAGCGCGCGCTCAGCTGGAAAAGTCTACCCAGGAAGAAGAAGAACCAACGCTAAGAAAAGTTGGAGAAGAATCTCTGCAAGATGCAACCCCGGATGAGACTTTGGAGGGAGACGATAGGGCAGATAGTGTCCAGGGACCTCTCCAAGGGAAGAAAGCAAAAGAGAATCCGTACAAATGTGCACAATGTGGGGAAAGTTTCCACAAGTGGTCCCAGTTGATAATACACGAGAGGGGTCACAGCAGAGAGAGACTGTACAGCTGTCCCCAGTGTGACCAGAGTTTTTCCTCCCGTCACGCTCTTCTCAGCCACGAGGTGAGCCACACGAGTGAGAAGCCCTATCAGTGCTCAGACTGTGGGAAAAGCTTCCGTGAGAAAGCGTATCTCCTTCAACACAAGAGAATCCACACCGGGGAGAGGCCGTACGCTTGCTCGGAGTGTGGGAAAAGCTTCTTCCGCAAGGGGTCCCTTATTCTGCACGAGAGAATCCATACAGGGGAGAAGCTGTACAGATGCCCAGACTGTGGGAAGAGCTTCAACCGTAAGCCGCACCTTGCTGTACATAGGAGAATCCACACGGGAGAAAAGCCATATGAATGCTCAGATTGCGGGAAGAACTTCACCGTGAAATCGGCTCTTAATGTACACATGAGAACTCATTCGGAAGAGAAGCCATATCAGTGCTCCGACTGTGGGAAGAGTTTCCGTGAGAAAGGAACTCTCAACATACATAAGCAGAGCCACACAGCAGAGAAACCTTACCAGTGTGCCGAATGTGGGAAATGCTTCAGTTACACAGCGTCATTTAGGAGACATAAGAAAACCCACACAGTTGGATCAGCTCTCAAATCATACGAGTGCCCTGAATGTGGGAAAAGCTTCGGCCGCAAGGATTATTTAATCACGCACCGGAGAATCCACACAGGCGAGAAACCTTACATGTGCTCAGTATGTGGGAAGAGCTTCAATCATGGAGCAACTCTTGTTACACATAAGAGGACCCATACGGGGGAGAAGCCTTATGAATGCTCTGAATGCGAGAAAAGCTTCAAACAGATTTCTGGCCTTATTACACACCGGAGGACACACACAGGCGAGAAACCCTATGAATGTTCTGACTGTGGGAAACGCTTCATTCTGAAAGCGTACCTTGATGTACACAAGAGAATTCATACAGGAGAGCGGCCGTATCAATGCTCACATTGCGGGAAAGGGTTCTCCTGCTCCTCTTACCTTTTAAGGCATGAGAAAACCCACACAGGGGAACGGTCCCACACTTGCTCTGACTGTGGCCAAAGCTTCTATTGGAAACGTTCCCTGATCATGCACATGAGGAAACATACGGGGGAGCAGAATCTACATGAGTGCAAAATCTGTGGCAAAGGCTTCAACTGGACATCAGCTCTGAATATACACATGAGGACCCATACCGGGGAGAAACCTTACATGTGCTCAGAGTGTGGGAAAACTTTCAGCGGGAAATGGATCCTCATCCAACACAAGAGAATTCATACAGGTGAGAGACCCTACAAGTGTCCTGAGTGTGGGAAGAGCTTCCATGCAAAGTCATCACTCTTTGCCCACAAACGGACCCACACAGGGGAGAAGCCACACGAATGTGCCGAGTGTGGAAAAAGCTACAGCGTGAAAGCCAACTTTGTGGCACACATGAGGACTCACACGGGGGAGAAGCCCTATGAGTGCTCTGAGTGCGGGAAGAGGTTCTACAAGAAAGACCGTCTCATGACGCACAAGAGGACGCACACTGGAGAAAAGCCGTACCAGTGTTCTGAGTGCGGGAAAGGGTTCAACTGGAAGGTGGGCCTGATCAACCACACACGAATCCACACCGGTGAGAAACCGTACCCGTGTGCCGAGTGCGGGAAGTGCTTCCATAAAAAAGACCACCTGGCTCGACATGAGATCATCCACACGGGAGAGAAGCCTTATGCCTGCTTTGACTGCGGGAAAAGCTTTAATCAGAAAGTTGCCCTGATTGTGCACAAGCGGACTCACACGGGAGAGAAACCCTATAAATGTTCTGAGTGTGGGAAGAGCTTCAGCTGGAAGAAGTCCCTCCTCACCCACCGGGCGGCCCACACAGGCAAGAAGCCCTACCAGTGTTCTGAGTGCACGGAAAGCTTCAGTCAGCGGTCTCTTCTTGCAGAGCACGAAAGGACCCATGCAGGTGAGACACTATGGGAAGCGTGGTTGAAAAGGAAGTCTTTTCCTTTCTTGGGGAGAAAGGAAGTTGCCCTTGAGGAAGCATGTGCGCTTTCAGAAGATCTTGAGATCAGTTCCTGGCGTTCCAGTTAACAGGTTTTCTAAGCGCCCCAGGGTTGGTGGCAACTGAATCTCATGCTTGCTTTAAAAATTGCCAGTGCTGGTGTCCTCAGCCTGGACAGACTTCAGGTGCCCAAATCTGGCTGCTGCTGAAAATTCGCCCAGAGCCCTAGCATTTTTTTTTTTTTTGGTAATAACTATATTAAGTTTTTAAAAAGGAACAGTAAAAACTA